CCAAAGTTGACATCTTTATAAATTTTTCCAGTTTGTAATGCACAAAGGATGTAAGTAGTTCCCAGGCCTAATTCTTAGGGTTTAAAAAATAATTTGGCTTTTATTCCCATTTTTAAGTTATACTCAACACAATAGAAATAAAACTGTGTATAATAACAATATAAAAATTCTAAGAACTAATATTAACTCATTTATTAATATTTTGAGTAGTCACCTCAAAATGATCTTAGTCACTTATTAACCCTAAATGAAGCATTTCCTAGGGATAAAAGAACATTTCCCCATGTAGCCTTGGCTGTCCTGGAACTCCCTCTGTAGACCAAGCTGGCAACTTGAGCTCAGATCTGCCTGCCTCTGCCTGCACAGTGATGGGATTAAAGGTGTGTATCACTACACTCGTCTCCAATTTTTCTTATTGACCTAGGGTTTGGCTTCATGGCCAATTCTGGTGTTGAATTTGAACTCATGGCAATCTTCCTGCTCTGGCTTCCCAAGTACCACCATGCCCAGCCCTGCCGGTTTTATGGTGCTGTCTTGCAGTTCTTGGATTGATCACATTTCTAAATAAGCACTCTACCTATGAACTACATCTCAGTCTCTTCTCCCCCATCCATCCCTCCTCCATTAATGATTTCTTACCAAACTAGGAGGATCCTGGCTTCATGTAATTCACTTATAAACTGTGATTAGTTCTATTCTATGGTTTTAGAGGAAAAAACTCCATTGTTTGGAACACAATCTCTAGGACTATCATAGTTTTGTAGTTTCTTGCCTCATTCTGGTAGTTAATCCAAACACCTAATGTTACAAGCTGGGAGAAAAGTATTCAGGTGTGCCCAGCCTAGGATTTTGTAGTGTCCCATAGCCCATGTGACCCAGAGCAGCCTGGGGCTCACAGGAGCTGGTTGAATACACATTATAAATTTACCAATGGGCTCCTGGCATTTTAGTTTAACACACTTTATTGGCCAGGGGTGTTGGTACATTGTTGCCTGGGCTGCATGAGACAAGCCCCCAACCCCGGGACTAAAAACCCTTAAAACAGTACCTACGTCTGACCTGTCATTTGGCTATTTAAATGGCTTTAACAACCTGTTCAATGTGAGGAAAAGGTGAAATAGACCAGACACATGCTCACTGTTCAAAGTGAAGATTATTAAGTCATCTAACCCAAGGCCAAACTCATAATTGTGTTTGACTATGCAACTAAATATAATTCATTTTGAAACATACAGCTATTCTTGAACTGTTTTGACAGGGTTCCATTAACTTGCTAAGGGCTAAGCCAACACTCATTAGGTGACACTATGTAATGTGTTCTAAACACTCTCATGTATTAATTAGTTCACTTAATTCTAATAGCCCTCCAAAGTAGGCAATAGCTGTCTTAGCCAATGGTGTTTTGTTTTCAACAAGGCTGGCCTTGAGCCCAAATATCCTTTTAACAACTTCTCATTTTGACACTTCTATCCCAAGTGCAGGACATCCAAATGTCCAGTGCATGAGGTGTGCAGGACTGAACTCAAGGCCTCCCTGCAATCTAAGCCAAGCATTCCTCAGGCCCCACTACTCAGGTTTTACATAAAATAACAAAAACAAAACAAGGACATCTAGTACTTTTTCTAAAGTCATAGCTACTAAGTAAGAATTTGGTTTGGAATTCAAGTAGCCTAATCTGTCTGCTCCTAAACATGATTATCCTAAGAAATGAAGCCGGGCACTCAGGACTCAGGAGGTAGAGGCAGGTGGATCTCTGAGTTTGAGACCAGCTTGGTCTACAAGAGCTAGTTCCAGGACAGCCTCCAAAGCCACAGAGAAACCCTGTCTCGAAAACCGGCCCTCCTCCAAAAAAAGAAGGAAATGAAATCACGCAGGAAATTTCAGAAAATTTTTGCTTTTCTACTTTATCTGAAACTGGGTTAAAATCCTGCCTGTGATAAGAGCTTTGTGATTTTGAAAAAGTTAATTCTCTTCACCTCAAATTTCCTCATCTTTCAAAATGTGGACAGTAAAGCCAGTGAAATTGGTCACTGGGTAATGGCACTTGTCTCTAGCTGCCATGGAAATAAGTACTAGTAAAGTGCTCAGAAAATTATCTTAGTGAGTACCTGTTATTTCCAAGCCACCTTTTATTTATAAGAAAAAATAATTTGACGAATTTGGCATGTGTGCTCCACTGAGAAATAGCTGTCAGAGGTTAAGATAATAGTGTCTTCCTCTATCCCTTTCTGCCTCAGTGCCTTAGTTCTTACTGAACTGTAAACTTGTTTTTGGCTAGGCTGGCTGGCTAGTGAGTTATAGGGATCTACCCGTTCCCACTTCCCAAAAGGGGTTACAGGGCCAATAGTCATGCTTGTTTTTTGTTGTTGCTGAGGATTCAAACTCAGGTCTGAATACTTTCAGATTAAGGGCTCTAGCCTACTGAATAACCTCTTCAAGAACTGCAGTTTCTTCGTCTGTGATAATAAAACAAACCATACCTTCCTTTGTTACTGTAAAGGATGATAGTTTTATACCGCAAGTATAATCTTAAAATTTCAGCAAACTGAGAATAAACCCAAATAGTAACCACAGTAAATCACCAGCAGAGGGGAGATGGAATCTTACCTTATTCACCACAAAAAGGACTATTAAAAAAAGTTGGTGTAATTAGGGCATCTTTTCCTTTTTATCACATTTAACAATAGCTGCATTTTACCATAGATATAATGGAATCCGTTTTAACATCAAACCCACATATATAAATATCTTGCCCCAAGAATTGCAATTGTATCGAAACCTGTCCCGTCCTTTTTACTGGCTATCTTACAAAAACTGTGACTGTTAAAGGTGCATTCTTTCCCTATTAAAACTTACATAAAAGTGATTTAAATTTCATTAACACTTCACAACTAGCTGGGGAGTTTTTCTAGGCTAACATTTGCTAAAATATTGAAATACTTGAACAGTATTTCTTTTTCCTTCCAATCCTAATTCCCACAATTCTTAGTAGGGCTTTCATGGGCAAATACAGCAGTATCCTAGGGCTGGAGACAGCTCACTGGTAAGAGCGCCTATGCTAGCTATGCACAGGCTCCAGTTTCAAATCTTGGAACCCAGCACAAAAGACCAGTCAACAAACCCAAAGCAGCACCCATTTCCCTGCAGACAACAAATTTTAAACTTACAGTAAAAACTAGGCATTACATATTAACACAATCACTTTAGTTCAAAATACTTTTATTCATCTAAAATAATTGCCAAAAAGTAGGCCAAAGAGCAACTTCACTTAAGCTTAATGCTCTTTTTAACTCCAGCCCGAATGCCAGACAGTTCACCACTATACCGCTGTTCTTCTCTACGAACTTCCCGGACCTGGCCTCGCCTTCGAATTTTGGCTCTTCTGAACTTTTCCCTATGTTTTACTCTGGGGTTCCTATCAATCTTCTTTCTCCTTGGTGTAAGTCCCCTATTTTTAGCAATCTGGTAGGTGATGGCTCTCTTGGCATTTTGTTCTTCGAGAGCCTCTTCCTCGGCACTATTTTCTTCTTTCTTTCTTTTCAGCTTCTGCCTGTCTTCCATTTCCTTATAGTATTTTAGTGCAGCTTCATCAAAATCAGGTTCATCAGGCAGATCAGCAGCAGCGGGAGAAATCTGTGAAACAGACTTTGGCTTAGCTTTGGTTAATTTTGCTTTTGGATTCAGTTCTTTCTTTACAGCACCATCCTTGGCTGTGAGTAGGTGACGAATTTCCGAGGACAGTTTCTGATCCACAACTGACAGCTTGTTGATCAGATTTCTGTAGGTGACAAGCCTTTCTATGACAGGATGTCCATGTGCAGGGACTCTCCTAGCTTTTAAGATCAAATAAAAACTGATGTTGGCGCAGTAGTTCAAGTAGAGGTTATACTTAGTCCTCAGGTACTGACTTCCTTTTCCAGGGGGAATGACTCCTTTCTCCACCAACTGTAACAAGGGCTCCAACTCATCTTTCACTTCCGCCAACTTGGCTTTGAGGTCTTCTATCAGCTCTAAGAACTCGGGTGATTCTTTTCTCAACATCTTCAGCTTCTCTTTTACGGAGACTTTAGCCAAATCCTTCACGACCCGAGTCTCAGCTTCATTTACCTGGGGCACCGGTTTTGCAAAGGCCTCCACCCAAGCGACTCCAAAGTCATCCTCTTGCAGGGCTTGGGCCAGGCGCCGCTGAATTACCTGTGCCTCCTCCTCTTCCTCTCTTTCCTCCTCTTCTACTTCTTGCTGACTCTGACGGCCTCGGGATTTGGAACCATAGTCCGTATCATAATAAAGCTTTTTCCTCTGGCCCCAGGACAAGCTAGGATCCACAGAGGCCTCACCCTCGCTCTGCACAGATCTCCCACCATCATCGTCACCATCATTGTCCTCGACATCCTCCTCGGCCTCCGAACTCTCTTCATCTTCCTCGTTCTCATCATCAACATCTAGGGCTAGCACCTCTTCCTCCTCATCACCATCCTCCTCCCCACTGTCGACTTCGTTCCAGCCCTTAGCCAAGGCTGCCCGGGATCGCGCTTCATGGAACTCATCTACCTGATCGTGGTAGTAGCTGGAGTCCCCCGGAGAGGGCGGCGACCCTAAATCGTCCTCATTTTCGTCCGTGGCGGTGCGACCTGCCCTGGCCCGCACAGCTGCCCACTGGGCCGCTCCACGCCGCCGGGATCTCTTCACCATCGCTCTCACGCCGTATCGTGCTCCCTAGCGATGCCGCGATTCCCGCAACTTCTGGCCTCCGCTCAGAACCGGCGATCCCAGCAACCAGGGGCTCTCAACACCAGCACGCTCCGCGCCGCACGCACGCCGCACGCCCCACGAGCCGCTCAACGCCGGACCCGCGGCTGGCAGGTCCGCTTCCTTCCGCTCCCAGGAAGCTCTCCGCTCAGCGCGCGAGCCTGAACTTCCGCTCGCCCCCGGAAGTTCGCCTCACCGTACCTTCTTAAAGCCAGTCGGTTCCGGCGAACTAAAATGTTTCCGGGTAGAAACGCTATTAGGGTGACAACATTCCGTTCTGCCGAGCCTCGGGCGGCGACTTCCGTGCTGCCTCTCGCGAGCCCGGGTGTGGAGCGGGAGTTTTGTCAGCGCCGCGAGGCCGCCCTCGGCCGGCAGAGGGCGCTGGGCCTCTACGTCACCACTTGTCGGCCGGGCGCCCAGTGGGCCATGCTCCAGAGTTTTCCAGCTCACGGTTTGTTCTCCACCGCTCGAAAGTATGGAAGTTAGGCAGGTTGCTTTTGTTTTTCTCCCTCCTTCGTGTTGACTTTTGAGGCAGGGCCTCGCCGTTTTACCCGGGCTATCCTCAGGGGACCAACCCGACGGGAGACTGCATCCCGGAACCCGAGGGCTGCAGCGGGAGGCAGAGCCCAAGGGGAAAAGACACCGCGGTTTTCCTTCTGTTGGAAAAGCTTGGCTTTTCTAGACGTCCTGAAAAAGACACTTTGAAGCTCTCAGGGGCACCTGCGTTAAAAGAGAGGCCCCTTACGTCTAGAATCGAATTACAGGATTTAATGACTGTTCTGCGTGTGTTCTTCAAGGTTGTTGACCTAGCACCAAACATGCTGGGCAGCGTGTTAGGCTCTCAGAGAAGGGTAGTGGCCAAAGTGGATGATTTTTCCCGAGGTTGGGCATCTTGTGGTCTAGGGGGACGAGCGCGTGCACCAAACAGAACACGTCTAAAGGGAGAAGTGCTGTCAGCCAGCGTTCAGTGCTGGAAACCAACGTGGGTTGTACATCTGTAATCTGTCATGAAAACAAGAGTACGGAGGGGTAATAGTATCCTTCCGCTCCGTGGGTCTGGGCGATTGAACTTAGTTAGCAAGTAACGCCTTTACCGACTAAGCCACCTTCAAATGCCTTTTTTCACGCCAGCTTCTTCACTAAGCTACTAAACAGCAGTTGTCAACCTGTAGGTCCCAACCCCTATGGGGGATGGAATGACCTTTTCATAGGGGTCGCCTAAGACCATTGGAAAACACAGATATTTACATTACCAGTCACAACAGTAGTAACATTACAGGTATGAAATAGCAATGGAAATAATTTTATTGTTGGGGATCACCACAGCATAAGGAGCTGTATTAAGGGGATCTGGGTATTGGGAAAGTTGAGAACCACCCCTTTAAAAGGATGTGCCAATATTCTGTGATTATGCACACCACATGGGCCTTGTGTCAGAAAACAAAAGTATAAGAAACGCAACCTTAACCAAACCAAACCCAAACACACACTTGATCGTATTAAGATTTAAGGATGCCAGGCTGTGCTGATCCTCCTGTCGCTGTCACTCCACTCACTCATCACTAGTCTCTTTCCCCACTGCTTCACTGGCTTCTCTTCCTGAGTTAGGGTGTCACACTGGGTTACAGGCAGCCTTCCCAGATGGAGACGGATGGTCTTCGTTCTTTGGTCAAGGGTATACAAATTCGCTAAGTTTCCCTGCTAGAACCTGTTTAAAAAACAAACAAAAAAAAGCTCTCAAAAAGAATTTAGTACTTATGCCCAAATTTAAGGGATTTGGGCTGTTTTGAAAACCAAAGCTTAAGTCATTTTTTAAAAAATCCTTTTTTTCCCCCTACATTTGGTATAGAGGAATGTTCAATATTTGTTTAATGAATATGTATAGAAAGTATATTTTACTACATATCCTAGGTGCTATATAAAGCTTAGTGAATGATGTGTACATATGCAACATCTCTAAACTGAACTAGAATAGATTCAGCAACCATCAGTTTCAACATCAGTTTTACACATGTGGAAACTTGCAGGCAATTCTGCTAAGGAGTTCTGCTAGGCCATGAACTCTCACACCATGACTTCACACTTAGTTGTCATTAGCCCCCTTTACCTTAAAAAACATGCACGCATTGCAGTTGGTTTCTTGTGAGCTAGCTGATGTCCATTGAATGTCATCCATTTGCGAATCATACAAGTCTTATGGTATCATAAAATGATGGTTTTAAATTCTGTAATAAAATGTTTTCTTATAAAAAGAGAACATTAATACACTTTTCATACAAGAAGTATCTTAAAGTGTCCAAGGGTGTCTGAAACCTTTAAAAGCCTTTACACAATTTTAGAAAATATAATTTAATCAATAGGATGTGGCTGGAAACCCATGTTCTGACAATAAGCATAAACTTCATATTTGAATCTTAAGTTTTTCTTTCTTCTTCCTCCTCTTCTTTTTTCCTTCCCCACTCTGCCTCAGTGTAGTCCTGGCTGTCCTAGAACTTGATTTGCAGACCAGGCTGGCCTCAAAGTTAGAGAGATCCTCCTGTTTCTGCCTCCTGAGTGCTGGGATCATTTCTTTTCTTTTCTTTTTTTTTTTAAGTCAAAGTGAACATAAATTATTAAGGAAAAGTGAGAGACAGGGGGAAAAAAAGAGTGGGACCCTTGAAGCCCTCTGATCTTCAGGCAAGCTTTGTTAGATCATAAACAAAATATCACCACAGAGTGACACCCTTGAATGTAAATTTTAGTAGATAGCAATATTAACTGCTTGTGGTTTATGCTAGTAGCAAATGTTAATGGCTAATGGTCTGTGGCACACAGTTTATACTGCTGTAGATCAAAAGGCAAACTGACCAGTCAAGGATTATCATCAGATAGAAAACACATGACCTGCAAGACACTCAGGCAGGTCACTAAAATATGCTCAACATCATCACAGATTGAAGTTCTGAGAGATTATTTCAAGGTTTTTTTTTAAAGTATTTTTGAAGACTGTTGCATTTAAACTATGACTATACTGAATTAAATTATACTGGATTAGCCGGGTGTTGGTGGCACAAGCCTTTAATCCCAGCACTCGGGAGGCAGAGGCAGGCAGATCTCTGTGAGTTCGAGGCCAGCCTGGTCTCCAGAGCCAGTGCCAGGATAGGTTCCAAAGCTACACAGAGAAACCCTGTCTCGAAAAACCAAAAAAAAAAAAAAATTATACTGCATTAAAATTTCCAGGGCTGGAGAGATGGCTCAGTGGTTAAGAGCGCTGGCTGCTCTACTAGAGGTCCTGAGTTCAATTCCCAGCAACCACAGGATGGCTCAACAACCATCTGTAATGAGATATGGTGCCCTTTTCTGGCATGCAGGTGTATATACAGGCAGAACACTGTATACATAATAAGTAAATAAATCTTTAAAAAATAAAAAAAATAAAATTTTCATTTATCACTGGGCGGTGGTGGCACATGCCTTTAATCCCAGCACTTGGGACAAAGAGGCAGGCAGATCTCTGTGAGTTCGAGACCAGCCTTGTCTACAAGAGCTAGTTCCAGGACAGCCTCCAAAGCCACAGAGAAACCCTGTCTGAAAGAAAGAAAGAAAAAAAAAAAGAAAGAAAATTTCCATTTATCATGAAACTGTTTTGTGTTCTGTTCATTTTATTTCAAAGTATGTCAGAACTTAAACTTACTCATACTTTGATCTAAACATATATATATATATATATATATATATATGTTAAAAACTAAATCAAATAATTTAAATGGGATTGACTATATTACTCTATATCATTTAACTTATTCTAAACGTTGCATTTCCTATCTATTTGGAATAGTTTCAATATTTTTCTTTTTCTGTCTGTTTTGTTTTGTTTTTTCAAGACAGGGTTTCTCTGTGTAGCCCTGGCTGTTCTGGAACTCATTCTGTAGACCAGGCTGGTCTTGAATTCAGAGATCTAATATTAGGATTACTTACCACTTAATTGAGGAAATATTTTTTACAAGAAAACTGTGTTTCTGACAGATGTGCTGTGACCCTAGTACACAGGAAGCTGAGGCAGGAGGATTTTGAATTTTAAGGAATCCTGTTCCACAGTATTAAGTTCTAGGCCACCCTGGCCTATAGGATCAGACTCTATCTTAAAAACATTTGTATTCCTGAAAATATAGATTAACTTAGGTGATGCTAGGGAACATAAGCCCATGTCCACTAAAAAGAAAAACAGGATCCAAAATGACCTAATATTGAAAAACACTTGACTTTTTCTCTGAATGGAAAAAATAATGGTGTGTGTGTGTGTGTGTATGTGTTTCATGGCATGTGGGTTGGTTCCAGGGATCTGGTTGCCTTTCCTATTCTGACATGTGACTTTTCACTTTTGTGTGTGGCAACTACAAATTGTAATTGCCTTGAAGTTTATTGTGTCATGTGACATTTGATTCAAGAATTAACAAATAACTCTCTTGTTTTATAAGAAATTTAGAGTATTTCTTGCAGAGCATAGGGGGCATTCTAGAGTCTATATAATGCTAGGGTACTTCAAGGAATGTGTTCTGGGTTTGAAAGAATTGTTCACTCCTAGACTCTATTTCTTACTGGACTACTGAAGTAATAATAATTAATGATATATAACATCACAAGTAAGTGCATGTACCAGGTTCTGTCATATCTTTGTTTTTCTTTTTCTTCTTCTTTTAGATGTATTAATTTATATGTTATCCTGGTGCCCTGTGAAGGCCAGACTAGGTGTTGGATAGTATAGAACTGGAATTATAGATGTTTAGAGCTACCTGTGTGTGCTAGGCTTTGAACCTTGTTCCTTTGGAAGAGCAACAATCACTCTAAAACAAGGAGTCATTTCTCTATCACCTCTTTTTTTTTTCTTTGCTTATTTGCTGTTGTATTTGGAGACACAGTAGGGAGCAGCCCTGACTGGTCTTGAACTTGCTGTGGGTCCTGGACTAGCTCTGTACTACTGGCTCTTGTGACCCTACCTTCTTAGTGCTAAAACTACCGGTGTCTGGGAACACATTCTTTTATTTATTTATTTATTTATTTTTGAGGTTATCTCATTATGTAGCCTAGACTGACCTTGAATTTGTGATCCTTCTGGGTGTAGGAATAAAAAATATTACTGCTATGCCCAGCAATATAGGTTTTTAAATGTCTGTGGTAATTAATATTTGAATGATGAAATATTAATTATGATTTTTATGAACTTAAGATAATAGTTAAATGAATATTTATTTATATCCTAGAATTATAGACTAGTTTCAAATGATTGACGTTCTCAAAAGTATTCTTTTTATTTTCAATGTGGTAGTAATAGTGATAATAATAATTTGATATGAGAATAATGGGAAATATATGTGGGTTAATAGCTGACAACTTATTGAGAAAAACCAGTGTTACACAGTTCACTATTTTTGGTACAACAAAGAAAGAAAGGTTATTTTTAGGTGTAAGAAAGAAAATGGAAGAGATCAAGTAT